GGCACTTTTTTCTAGCCCCATCCCCATGTGGGGTAAGCAGAGTGGCTCTTGATCAGGTCTGATCAGTCGCACGAACAGGACAGGATTTTGCTGCTGCCTAGATCCCAGTGCATAAACGACCATCTAATCTGTGACACCCAAGTGCAGAGTTGTGAATAGTGACTCCAGGAAGCCATCTCTGCCTGAGTCCGTCGCCACTCGTCTGTCGCCATAAGACTTTTGGGGGGATAGGGACTTTGATGATGATAAGAAGTATGATGAGCTGGATGATGGCTGCACGTGAATTGATTTATTTAGTGAGGCAGGAGCACAGGCTGCAACCATACATCTTGGCTCTCCTTTTTCCTGATCCAGTGATGCAAGTAGTTACAACGATTGGGGAAAGAGGAGAGTTGCAATGGACTGTTGGTTTCGCCTTAGTAGCCTGTCAATCTTGCATTGCCTTTATTCGCCGGTGTAGTCGTTGGGTTCCCATGTTGGTCACCTCTTCCGCCTATTCCGCCATTGGGTTTTACTGAAGCTTTGTAAGCACGTTTGCATGATGCGGGGCTCCACTGCAGATTTTTCGTTTGGGGTTTACTCCCGTAACCTTATACATACCAAGGTTAATTTACAAGGCAGCGGGACAGTGGTTAGTAGGCGCCGGGGCCTGCCCACATGCCACTGGACCTATGCACCATTCCTCTGGGGAGGCACAGCAGGAGTCATTTTGGTGAAGAGGCTGCATACTGGCAGGGGAAGACTAACGCAAGGTTGCTTCCCTGTTCACCATGAGGGCTAGCCAGCGACGGTAGTTGAAAGTGAGAGGAAGCAAGAAGTGCCAGTAACACTAACATAATGTTGGCACACGAGATGCGTTACACACACATACACACACACACACACACCCTAGGACTGAGATACCTCTCTCAGACACACGCACATTCTAAGATACTGCACCACATGAACACCACACCACCTGGTGTCTCCATGACCACGTGAGGTCCTTCATATCAACACCAGAGGACGAGTTACTGCACCACGTGAACACCACACCACCCGGTGTCCATGACCACGTGAGGTCCTTCATATCAACACCCGAGGACGAGTTACTGCACCACATGAATCCCACACCACCTGGTGTCTCCATGACCACGTGAGGTCCTTCATATCAACTCCCGAAGACGAGTTACGACACCACGTGAACACCACATCACCTGGTGTCTCCATGACCAGCCCAGGCCCGGGCCATCAACCGTAAACTACATAATTTGTATGTTCAATCATTGTCCCTTCTTCTTTCAGTAATGAAAGCTTTTGTTAAGCGACCCAGCCACCCCGTGTCTTTGTATGTAAAACGTGATTTTTGTCCAATGTATATTTTCAGCCTTCGGGCTGCAAAACCTTTTCAATATACCGTTAATTATTATTATTATTATTATTTAGACTGCTTCCTCACTTCTCACATATACACACCCCTAGGACTGACACCTCTCACACATCCCATAACAACACCCGGTAGCAGCTTCCTCCATCGACCTCCCTCCCTCATGCAACATGAAACACCTCTTCGTCGTCTTTCATGAAAATTCACTGTTCTTTGTGGTGTGAGGCGACGCTCGGGGCGACTGCAATCTTTCTCCAGTAAGACGATTTGAGGAGTGAATTATACCATTCGGTAATTTACGTAAGTTTCTGTTGAATAATAACGTACATACCGTAAAGGTTATTTAGCAACAGAGGTAAAAAGGAATTAATTGCCAAATAATGAACACAAAAAGATTTTAGTGCATTACTGTATTTAGGTGCTCTTGATGTTTACTTAATACGATCATATTTTTTTGTTTGTGTATTTTTTGATGTTTAAAAAAGTACAATATTACCTGTTATTGACGTCTATTGAAACACACGACGAGACCGGGGGGGGGGGGTGTTCCATTGGTTTTACTTACTTGTTGTTGTCTATCTTGCCTGTCAACTTTGGTTAACATTCACCAATTCACCATATATAAAACTTTTCTTGGATTACATGAAGATTTAAGGACCCCCGCTTATATCATCCGAGGGTTGTTATGCCGAGGCATAATTTTGGGAACTAGGTGTTTTGATTGTTTTCTGTCCCCAGCAGCAATTATTTTGGCAAATTTAGTGAAATTTTCGAGTATATATTGATTTAGTAGTTATGTAAGAATATTCAAGAAGGTATTGCACTATTTTTTATCAGTTACTTCTTATTTTAAGCTTATATCAATCTAGAATTCTCCAGGCGTGTCGCAAGCCGACCTCCCACGCCTGGACAACGCTAGAATGCTCTGGGCGTCTGACTAACCATATATATATATATATATATATATATATATATATATATATATATAATTTAGCTAAATATCTTTCTCGTCAGAAACAGTCATCCCAATCAGCTGTAACTCTTTAGAAGGGGGCGGGGCATCTTTTCTCACCTGGGAAAAACGCGTAAGCTTATTATTTGCCTGTTTTCTTCACCTCATCTTCCTTTTTTTCTTTTCCGTTTTCGTGGTGTGGGTCTGTCACACGATGCTCTCTGCCAGCTTCGTAATTTCCTTCATCTGGTAGTCCGTGAGCCGAGTGCGATGTTGGTACCATCTGAGGGCACCAATCTAAACCTATTCTCTTTTGATAGTACGCCCTAAGGTCTAGGGGATGGCGGAAATGAAGGATAGATTTGTCAAATAAGTAATTAGAACCAGTCACAGTCGAATTAATGATGGCCGCAATGAAAATAAATAATTTCGTATTTTTCTTTATTTCCACTTTTTCTAACTGAACCGCTGATGTGTTATATAAACTACTAAAACAAACAACTTTTATTCCCAAATTGTATTATATATATATATACATATATACGCTGATAACCACAAGGAAAGAGGAAAACACGAAGTTCCCAAGCGCTTTCGTGTAATTCACATCTTCAGGGGTGAGTCAGTACTCACCCCTGAAGATGTAAATTACACGAAAGCGCTTGGGAACTTCGTGTTTTCTTCTTTCCTTGTGGTTATCAGCATATACCTAGATCACGCGCACCTACAGTGATTTACTTGCATATATACATATACATATACATATATATATATATATATATATATATATATATATATATATATATACATGCAAAACACATTGTGCACACACGTACACATGTATACGTGTGTGATTGTGTGCTTGTATGTTCTTTGTGCATTTCTACAGTTTTGAAGACAGCTTATATTTGGTAGGAAGGTGGCCAAGGAGATGGTCGTACACTGCAGTATAGACGTTTATTGTAAGGCTTTTTCGATTTACGGAATAGCTAACGCGTTAGCTATTCTGTATGCGCAGACGCTGCTTTTGAGCTGTGCTCATGGAACATTCAGAGGGAAGAGCTAACACCTCGATCAGCTAGCTGACAACCAATCAGGGAGTTCCTCCCACGTACAAACTGTGTAAATATGAGGATCATGGCCACTTGTGGAGATTATTTTGATTATTATTGAAGAGTTGTGGGCATGTAAGACAATGAAAAACTGTGATATAATAATAAAAATAATTCTATATACGGTTGTATATTGGATAGGTACCTAAAGCAAAGCGTCAGGGGTGAAAGAATTGAAAAGGATTTCGCCTAGTTGAAACCAGTTTTGGCTTCGCCCATTTTTACGTGGGCATTGTCAGATTTCATTAGTCGCTGGTGAATTTTGTGTAAAATATTGCTAATTACTCAAATATGATTAAAACTTTAACATCATTACTCATAAGATACTTTAAATAATGGTGAACAAGTTGATTATAGTTCTGTAAATGCAAAAAATAATATTTAAACCGAACCTGAAATTCGTTGTATTGCTTGTTTACGATTGAGAACAGCTTTAAACAATGTAGCAGCTAGACGAGAGCGTACGTAGTGTGGTTTAAAGCTCCAACTCAGTACCACCCACCTTAACAACGGGCCCTATTTTTTGTTATTCTTATTTATTATTGACTTATTGCCTTTTATCCTTTTTTTACTATTTCTTTCCGTATTGTGTCCAAATAACAGTTCTCCTAATTTCATTGTTTTCTGAAGACTGTACTGTACAAGTTATTCCCAAAGCGCAGTACAATGTCGTATATTTTAATGACTCCGGGAAAGCTAACGCGTTAGCTATTCCGTGCTTCTTAAAACGCCTTACAATAAACGCCTGATGTCCTGCACCAGCCGGGTGAAACTCACACAGTATACCTACAAAACAACCTTTTTTACCCTTTCAGGTACGTACAGTAGCTATCTGTGCATCCTTTGTGGGAAACAATATGAACCATGAATGATAAATTTTGGTATATGAGGACTGTAACTAGTCACACGTAAAATTTCGGAGGCTATCGACCCCCACCTGCACATATAGTTGTTTTAGCTGCTGTACTGTTTGAGTCCCAATTGATCTACAATATTCATTTAAATATTTATTTATATTCTATTAGATTTTTTAGCCAATTTATACAAAAGTAACACCGAAGTGCCCCCCTCCCCCGTCCTTAAAGTACGTACGCAAAGTTTCAGGTCTGTAGGTTCCATGATCTTGAAGCTACGGGGCTGATGCACACACACACACTCGCGTTTTTATTATTATATTTAACATTCTGAACACTATATATTTTGTACCAATTCAGAGTAAATTTATTAGTTCTTCAACGCCAACTAGTCTTGCACCATGAAAGGTAAAGTAGTGAAGAATGAATGAGGGTATACTGGGTAGTATTTTCTCTGTCGTGGTGTGGTTATCGTAGCTAATACCAGATAAACGTTCTTCTACCGTCTGCCAGCAGTAGCGCTCAAGGAACGACCATCAGTGTAACGCAATTATAACCATTGTGATGTTGGAAGCCAAGTAGAATAAATAATTTTGTGTTGACTAGTGTGTTTTAATACTCCTCGCTGCACCTTCAAGTTATGAAGGCAACATTCTGGCCGTTACTTAAGTCCAGGTTTATGACTCTGTTAATCAACTGATGTATTCACAAACATAAAATGAATAAAGCTTTTTATTTTTCGTATTAAAAAATACGAACTCATCGACACGAAAAGCAAAGATTTCACGCATTTCCAGATATACTTCTTAAAAACGAAAAATACATTTAAGTTTACTTAATACTGCTTTCCCCAGGAACACAATAATAAATCTTGGAGGTGTGACAAGATGGTCTTAGAATACCCAGGGAATCATGCGGTAGGGAACTTCCCTGCAGTATTTGTCCCAGCTGGCTCCATACTTATCCCGGCACTTGTCCTCGTCCCTGAATACCCTGTGTACCAGCAGCACCGTCAGGAAGATTACGTAGAGAAAAGGCCAAAAGCCATAGCCCAGCCCCGGCAGACACCAGGACAGGGCCAGTAACAGCTCGAACGTGTAGTTGAGGTGTCTGGCGACGCCCCAACACCCGGAAGTGAGCAGTTTAGAACGCTTAGGACCCGAGGCGCTCGTGTATTCCGCTTCAATATAGGTGGCGGGTCGGCCCCATAAGTCACATTTTCCATCCATGGCGCGAAAGTATTCCTTTTCCCAGTCTATGCGGTAATTGCCAATTATCGCACATAAACCCAGGATGAAAAAGAAGATGGCGGCGGTGGTGGACACGAGAGGAGGGTGAGCCACGAGAAAGAAGGAGGCATAGGTGTAGAGGGAGGGCACGAATACCAAACACCCCCAGCAGATGTAGTAGCCGGCACGGTCCAGGATGATGTCCAGCGTGTTGAAGTAGCCAGTCTCCCACCAGTAAAACTTGGCCAGGTAGATGGTTTGGAGGGTGGCACACACCAGGTGAGCCAGGCTGAAGCCGTTCCTCTCCCACCCTGCCAGGAAGAAGGCCACCACCAGCAGCTCCCAGGCCAGGAGACCGAATCTGCAGTTGGTAAGCTGCTTCACGTCGACGCCCAGCATCCTAGGGTGCAGCTCCATCCCCCGGTAAAACTCGTACACTATTGGCTTTGGCTCCAACACCTCCACTGCCTCCGGCCACAGCTTCCCTTTCAGCAACAAGTAGATGCATAGCACGAACGCCAAGATGTTGCATGACGCAAGTATCTGAGAAAGGTTGTTATACATTACGCTACATACAACAAGTTTTACTTCTTATTTGTACAGTTTTACATTTTGTCACAATTGTGTGTACATTTTATAAACTACTGGCTGGGGAACCCGACATTCCCCTTTTTTTTGAGAGGCAGCTATCATCTACACTTCATCCAAAATAATATCTTCACTACATTATTAACACTACATTAACTGAACTATCATTTACACTACAGTAATAACACACTTCATCTGTTTTTTACACTTCTATTTTCCAGACAATTCTGGGGTATATGTGCATCGCCATGATAAATTAAAAATTTCAATCTTCAAAACTGCAGACAGAGCGAGATCGATAACGGACAAAAATCACAGATACAGCATACAGGTATATATAATATTCCAAATAAATACTGAAATGCAAAAATATATGTTGCTGCTGTTGCTAATACTATAGCCATTTTCATTTTTATTCGGCCTTCAGAAACAGTAAAGTATGACTACTTACAGTGAAGTTGGAAAAAATAGTTCTAGCAGAGCAGATTGTCACTGTTACTCACATTCTGGAAGTTGTCGACCAGGTCAAGTGGGATGTGTGGGTAGTAGAGGACGAGGGTGAGGAAGGCCGCCAGAGACACCACGAAGAACTGGAACCCGTTAGCCTTGTAGACTGGCGTGTAGCCGAAGCTGGTCTGTGGCCCGGAGAACAACTTCCCCGGCACCTACAACAGATTTACCCTAGAGTATCAGACTTCTGGTTATACTAAAACATAACATACCTGTCTGCTAAACATTTCTTCTCACCTGAACAAAATTTACCCAGTTTTATAATACGCACAAAACTCCATTAATAAGAATATTTCCAAAATTACATCATCAAACCAGAGCAGATGGTATATATATGTAATGAGGAAATCTCGAGTAGAAGGTAAATTAAGAGTTATAGTTGTAGGATTGTAAAGTGAAGAAAGTTGATAGCATGCCGATTAGTTATTTAACCGTTCTAATAAGGAAATCTGCTAAACACTTCTAAGTACAGCTGTTTATTAGTTAACTGAATGGCATGGGCACATTAATTAATCATTATATTGACGTTACAAGACAATGACTCCCGGATCCAAACATGAAATGGATGCGCTTCCCACCGTAAGTAACTCACCCTATGGATCGCTCTGACTCATGTGGGACCTGGGGAAGGCCCAGCAGCTGGGGACTGTCTGCACGGTCTGGTAATGCTGAAGAAAATGGTCCCGGCGGGTGCTGGACTCTGTCTCTTGTGGGAGACTCAGCTAGCTGGGGACTCGGTGCTGGGAAGGGAAGTCCCTTTCCTGACCTCGACTTGCGACGAGTGTGACTCCGTCTGCCTCTGAATTTTGTCTCTCCCTATCTACCCCTGACGGAAGGAGCTGTAGGCCCCTTATATTGGAGATATAAGGTTGGCAGATATCCTCTCTTAATTAACACCAATCTGGGTGTGTCTAGACAGCTGTGTTTGATCAGGTGTGTGGTGGGGGCTGGAGGGTAGTTTCTTGAGTTAACACGGTCATGCCACTTATCATGGTATGCCGGTCGGCAATGCTTCTTAATTGTTACTCTGGGTGTGTCTGGCCAGGCGATAGGCGTACTAGCTGGAGAGCAGCTTCCCTAATTAACAAAGTCATATTGCCGTTTCCCTCATCACACGGCGGTGAGAACTCTTCTTTCCTTTGTGACCATGACCTCTGTTGGGGCAGGTCTTAATCTCACTCTAAATACTGTAGGGTGGGTCAACTTACGTGGGTGTACACCTACTCGTCTAGTTACTGCTATATGTGTTGTTCTTCTCTGGGCAGTAAGCTATGGTATGATAAACAATCATTACACCTCCTGCCACGACCAAAGCTTCCATACCAGAGAACTGATGGCACATATAGACAGTAATATTATGTGCAGTATCTATAATGGTCCCTGAGGCGATAATGCAACCTCACATTTTACAAACAATAACCGCCACCTATTGGAAGCACTTAACTCATAGTTAATGATAGGTATGTTTTTCTAATGGCTTGATTTCATTTGATAAAACTCACTATATATATATATATATATATATATACACACACACACACGAGTATATGCTGATAACCACATAGGAAACAAAAAAACACGAAGTTCCCAAGCGCTTTCGTTTAATTCACATCTTAGGGGTTGAGTACAGACTAAGGAGTAATTATTGACAAGACTAATCTATATAGTAAAGGAGAGTGAGATCAAGTCTCTCGGCCTCGGGACAGCAGGTGACCACCATATTCAGATTAGAACATAAGAACATAAGAATGGAGGAAACTGCAGCGGGCCTATTGGCCCATACTGGGCAGTCCCGTTTACACCCAACCCCTATTGCTCATATAAGCATCCAACCTATGTTTGAAGCTATTCAGCGTATTCGAGTTAATGATGATATTTGGTAACTTGTTCCATTCATCCACTACTCTCTTTCCAAACCAGTGTTTACCTATTTCACCCCTAAATCTAAATTTGTCTAATCTAAAACCATTGTTACGAGTTCGCTCCTGGTTGGATAGTTTGAGTACCTTTGCAATTATTCCCTTTGTTTGGCCCTGGCTTCCACTTATACACCTCTATCAGGTCGCCCCTCGCTCTAAGTGTCTCGAGGGAGTGCAAATTAAGATGCTTTAACCTGTCTCTATACTCAAGGTTCCTAATGCCCGGGATTAGTCTTGTCATTCTCCTGTGAATTCTTTCCAAGGATTCTATATCCATTCTGTAATCCAGGTGTGGTCTCACAAGAGCAAGATACAGTTTTAGGATGACCTCGCTAGTCTTGTAACAAACACGCCTTTGTATGAACCCAAGTACTTTATTAGCCTTGTTACGAGCAAAAACACATTGTTTACTTGGCTTAAGGTTCCTACTTATCATTACTCCTAAATCTCTCTCACAGTCGGATTTCTCTATGGCATCGTTGTTCATCTGGTATCTGGTTTCCCTGTTTACATCTCCTATACTGAGTACTTTACATTTGTCCACGTTAAATTCCATCTGCCATTTTTCAGACCATTCGAAAAATTTGTTTAGATCTTCCTGTAGTTTTGCGGAGTCCTCGTCAGATTTAATAACACGTCCTATTTTAGTGTCATCAGCAAATTTACTTATGTTGCTGTCTATACCGATATCTATGTCGTTTATGTATATAATAAATAATAATGGTCCAAGTACTGAGCCTTGGGGAACTCCACTTGTGACGTTGCTCCAATGGGACTTAGTGCCATTAATGCTCACTCGCTGTTTCCTGTCCTGTAACCACGCCCTAATCTATTTAAGGATATTACCTTTGATGCCATGTGCTTCTACCTTTCTAATTAGTCTTTCGTGGAGGACTCTGTCGAAGGCTTTGCTAAAGTCGAGATATACCACATCATAATTGTGCCCCTCGTCCACCGATTCGAAAACTGATGAAAAGAATGTTAATAGATTAGTTAGACATGAACGTCCGCTTGTGAAGCCATGCTGGGAATCATTGATCAATCGGTGCTTCTCCAGGTGATTTCGAATAGAGTTTGAAATGATTGCTTCCAGTAATTTGCCTACTATTGATGTTAGACTGATTGGGCGGTAGTTAGAGGATAGTGATTTATCTCCTTTCTTGAAAATTGGTATTACATTCGCTATCCTCCAGGATTCTGGTACTACACCTGTTTTTAAGGACATGTTAAAGAACTTTGCTAAGGGCATACTAAGCTCTTCCTTACATTCCTTTAATACACTGGCAAATATCTCATCGGGACCAGGTGAATTATTAGGCTTTAGTTTGTCTATTTGCTTACTAACATCGTTACTAGTCACTACTATCTCGCTTAATTTGTTTTCTTTACTATCTCTGAATAGAGTCGGTGCCCCGGGTATCATGTTTAAATTTTCGGCGGTGAAAACTGTTGAAAAATATTTATTCAAATTATTGCTCATTTCTCTGTCGTTATCAGTGAGCTCGCCGGTATCTGACCGTATTGGTCCAATCTTTTCTCGTGTTTTAGTTTGATACATTTGGTAGAATCCTTTGGGGTTTGTCTTCGCCTCCCTTGCTATCCTTACCTCATTATTCCTCTTGGCTTTCCTTATCTCGGTTTTAACCCTACTCGCCAATACCCTATAATAATCCCAGAGGTAAATTTCGCCACGATTTATCCTTCTACCTATAGCCTTCCTTTGGCCAATGATGTTCTTTAAATAATTATTTATCCATTTAGGGTCATTGTTGTCTGATCTGAGTTTTTTGTATGGTATGTTCTGCCTTTCTGCATTAAGTAACTCATTATTTAAATTGTCGAGGAACTCGGCAATCTCAGATCTCGTTATCAGGTCTGTGTCATCTGTCAGGTTCACGGCCAAGTGCGACACCCCCTCTCTCAGCTGCCTCTTTAAACTGTCAAATTTGCCCTTCTGAAATCTGGTACTTTCGTGGAATTTTCCTTACGTCTGCCCTGAAAATCTAACTGGAATCTAATTTCTTTGTGATCGCTGTTTGCAAGTTTGTTCCCTACCTCGACATTGCTAATGAGGTTTCCTCTGTTTGACAGAACTAAATCGAGTATATTATTACCCCGGGTGGGTTCGGTTATATGTTGACTTAGAAAACAGTCTTGGATCGTCTCGAGAAAATCTTCTGATTCTGAGTTACCTGTAAGGTCAGTCCAATCTATTTGGCCAAGGTTAAAGTCGCCTACTATACAGACTTTGTTGTGTATGGAAGCCCTGTGCATTTCATCCCAGATAAGTCGCTCATTGACTCTATCAAGATTGGGAGGTCTATATATTACTCCTGTGATTAATTTTTCCCTACCGTCGATTAATTCTATCCAAATTGTTTCTGTATTCCGCTCCGTTTTTATTTCCTTATTCATTTCACACTTCAGATTATCCCTAACATAGATTGCTACTCCGCCTCCTTTCCTGGTCTGCCTGTCGGTATGGAACAGTTTGTAACCCGCAATTTGGTATTCGACCTGTAACTCACGTGAGTGTAGGTTGATCCATGTTTCAGTAAATGCTATTATATCGATTTTTTCAGTACATACCAAGGCTCTAATATCATCCATTTTGTTTCTCATACTTCTACTGTTCGCGTAGTATACATTTAAGTTAGTCGTGTTCTGAGTCCTCCCCTTACCGCGTTTAGTTTTATACTCCCTGTCTAATTTAGTTTTGTCATCATTCCTAACACTATTTCCCTGTAATCTTTCACTTTGTTTACCCGCTCCCACTGCATTCTCCTCCACCCCCGTGCTCATATGTTCTCCTAACAGTTTAAAGACTTCGATATCTTTTGAACTGCCCCTTCTAGAGCCCCAGCCAGGGTTACTACTCCATCCCTAGACAGGTGCACCCCTTCCCTAGCATAAAGGTCCCTTCTGCCGTAGAAGTTGTCCCAGTTGTCAATGAATGGGACTGATATTGACTTGCAATATGTGTCAAGACGGTTGTTGACACCAACTGCCCTTGACAACCATTCACTGCCAACTCTCCTAGGCAGGACACAGCATATGATAGGGATCCCTCCCTTAGTCCTAATACGATCTATAGCTGCCTTGAACTTATCAAGAAGCTCCTCGCTCCTACACCGGCCAATATCATTGCCTCCTGCACTGAGGCAGATAATGGGTTTGTTCCCATTACCAGACAAGATATTGTCCATCCTGTCAATTATATCCCCCACCCCAGCTCC